TTTTTTCAGTATGTACAAACTTCCTCCTTGTTCGTAACTAGTTTATTAATTGTATACACATTTTTTTTTTTAATTACAATAATATAAGATTATAAGTGGTCACTGCTGACCAAATGCTGACCAAAGGCCTCTTCTCAGACGGAGAAGGTTTGAGCATGAATCGCTACCCCGAGAACAAACAAAAGAAGTCCAGGTTTCCTTACGATGTTTTCCTTCACCTTTTGTCAATGGTGTCTATATGATAGTACGTATAATTTGGAAAAAGTCACACGAATTCGACTTTTTTAAAAGACTATTTGAGACGTGATCTGCTATCCTCAAATCCAAAAATATAGTGTTTACAATTTTTGTCTGTTCGTCTGTATATATGTCCGGGCTAAATTCAAAAAATACCGCATGGATTAGATTCAAAATTTGCATGAACATCAAAAACAGGTCAGGTCAGCATATAGGCTACATATTATCAGGCTATCACCTACGGAAGAGGAGCTAAAAATATCCAAAGTCACTATTCCACGCGGACGAAGTCGCGGGCACAGCTAGTTATATTGTATAATAGATAAATTACTATATCGCGCAGATCTCAAATAGATTACCATTAAAACAATTATATAAATATAAGTTATACATTAAACTGTAATATACAGGAGATTGACATAGTTATTATGTACATTATTTTATGTGAGTCGGGTATATAAATAATTGTATTTCGTATGACATTGAGCTCGTGATTTTATTCTAATTGGCAACAGACAACAAAGGTCATATAATATTATATACATAAGACTATAAAATCGTGTTGTATGACGACGATTGTCATGCTCACTCAAAAGTCTCATTCGCGGTGGCGCGTGCAGTGGATCGCTCGATTCCCTACAACATGGTTAACGTGGGTAGTTATTCTCCATAGGAATCTACACTTTAGAACGAGCAAATAGTTTCACTAGAAGACTGACCCACAGACTGTAATTTTTTCTTATTATTTAATATTTAAATATTTAGGTTTGACGTTCAAAAGTGCCTTCCTGGTCTAATTAAAATAAATGATTTTGACTTTGATTGGCGCATTATGTACTATAATATTTTGACTAAATCATTTTTATTTTCTGTTGGTATACTATGTGTCTGATATTTAAATTATGATAATGCAAAACAAACAGGAAATGCATAAATCTGGTTCCATGCATTTCCTCCTTTTTAATTTTATCCTATTTATGTACTTAAAGGTTTTTTTATTTATATATAAATACCTACTCCACTAATATTATAAATCCGAAAGTTTGAATGTTTGATTGTTACTTCTGTACGTCAAAACGGCTAGAGGGATCAGGGTGAAATTTGGATAAGGAATAAATTATCGTCTAGAATATGGCTACTTTACTACTTAAAGTCAAAGTCAAAGTCGAAGCATTTATTTCAAACCATAACTAATTTGATACTTTTGAAACGTCAACGAATACAAAATAAACAATAGTCTGTCAGTCAGTCCGTCAGTGAAGCTAGGTGCTCATTCCAAAATGTCGATTCGAATGGAGAAGACCGAGCAAGAAACTCCTCTCTTTTAAAAAAGTATGTTCTACAGTGTCTCTGATACATATTCCAATACTGTACGTGAATGTGAGAACAATGCAAAGGCACGCTGGACGCATTATACTGATTACAAAACTTACTAAAATAAAAAAAAAATAAACAAAACAAAAAAATCTTACACATGTCATGTCAAATCGTATACATCTTATACATGATGCTCACATTACTGGCTCATCATCATCATCAACAGCCTATATATGCCCACTGCTCAGCAAAGCCCACACGAAGAAAGTTTGAACATAAATCCCCACGCTTGCTCAATGCGAGTTGGCGATTACAGACTTATAATTAGAAATTATAAGCCCAGGTTTCCTCACGATGTTTTCTTTCACCGTTGGTCAGTGGTATATAGATAATCTTAGAAAGTAGGTACATATAACTCGGAAAAAGTCACATTGGTACTTGCCGTTGGTAGGTTTCGAACCCGCACCCTGCATGAGAAGTGGGCCTCTTAAACCTCCGGGCCTCCACGACACATTACGATGGCTACTTAATGTCGCGGAGAACCTAACAGGTAACCGGGGCTCCGGCTCGATGTACAGGATGAATGGGGAATGGGGTGGTTTTTAATCAGTAAGAGTCTGACACTCCCTCCCGCCTCACCCATGTGGGAGCAGTCATTCGATGATCTTCCCCCCTTAAAATAATGGCTATTAAATGGCTAATTTTATCCTATGGGATCCGCGGAAGAAACGGCTGGCTGAAGCTAGTGATATTTATATACCGACTTATCTTATAGAAAATCCAAGCGAGGTGATATTGTAAACATTCTTAACCTATGTTAACCATTCCATGTCATTATCTGTAAAAATAAATCATACAATTATGTATTAATAACAGCGTAGGGTAACAATTACACTTGCTGTAATGGTAAACCCTATTACAGTAATTATAAGTATAAGTAGCTACTTACCTATATATACTTACCTATGAGATAGTGGTAATACAAAAACAAATATAAAAAATACCTTCTATGGGTGCATAACATAAATACGCCACGCCTTTCATCCCCGAAGGGGCAGGCAGAGGTGCATATTATGGCACTTGATGCCACTGTACAATGTAACATCTACTTTTCACTATTTATATTATGAGTCCCATGTGTAGGGGTAATCTACTACTGAGATTAAAAAAAAACAGTAATACTTTGGCCGACCCGGGAATTGAGCCCGAGACTTGCCCCTCAGTCGCACTTGCAACCACTCGGCCAATGAGGCAGTCATCAGACCTCCTATAGGTGCAAATGGAAAATCTCAACCATATTTATCTAGTTTACACTAAACAATTTCATTTTCTGCTTAACACTTCTCTATTAAACTAACAATTTTTAAGAAATGTATCAAAAATAATTAATTAATCACTTTTCATAATTATTCGAATCATCGACTTTACCAACAGTTAAGTTAAAGCCATAACGAACACTAATGCCATCTAGCGGTACATAGCGATATTATTATCTAAGAACTCAATACAACCTACAAATTACATATGTAAGGTACAGTATAGTGAAACATCGGAGGTGATAATTCAGTCGTTGGTCAAAAGAGGTCTCTCATTTATAATTTCCAAAGTTGTCTTAAATCACTTAGCTATAGTAGATAATTTAGGTTCCTAGGATGTAGTATAATAATATCTACTTTGTAGAAAATAACATAACATAACGTCACGCCTTTTACCCCGAAAGGGTAGGCAGAGGTGTACATTACGGCACTTAGTGCACATTAGGGTACAATGTAACACCCATTTTTCACCATTAATATTACATATGAGTCCCATGTAATAGAGTCTAGAAAATACTAATGTGCAGAAAAACAGCTCATATTCCACTACACCACACTTATCTACCTCGTCTCGTAATGGTCATAAATAAAAGAAAAACGCTAAACAATGGAACAACGAACTAGTGGAACTTTAATGCCAGCAAGATAATAATGTTTATTAGTTCCAGAATTAAGATGAATCCTTACATTATGTCAGTGTCTACTAATTACTATACGAAATAGGAACAAACCATGGTGATGATCACTAGCTTCGACTAGTCAGTGTTACAACTTACAACTTTTTTACATTTGGGTAGGTACTTGCCAACTAGTCAAATTCAATACTTTTTTCGAACTGTCAAAAACGACAGTTATATAAGAATTTTGTATGAGATTATGTACTGTGACGTCACGTTTTTAGAGTCAAACAGCATACTTGATTTTTAAAAATTAGCTGGAAAAATATTAAAATGAAGTTACTCATAAAATCAATTAATGAAAGTGTGATTGTTTTAAAATATTTTATTGTATTGAACAGTCGAAATGATTTATTTTTGATTAATGAAAGTACCCTACTTAACACTTGTCTAAGTAACTAAGCAATCTAATTGAAAAAACACTACGATCATCTAATTCCATTCAAATTAACAGCCCATACATCCTTTATCAGAGCACTCACAAAGAGAAAACCTCCAAATTACTAATTAAATACGTCTTAAGATTAGATCAGCATTCTCTAAGAGCATCTTCGAAGGTACAGAACCCTGAACTTTAGAGTAAGGTGCAGGAAGTTTGGGAGTTCATCAAAGTCAGATGGAGCAATTATTGGCGCTGGTGATGCAACCAGCAGCATGTGGAACGCGGTCGGTGGCAAGGTCGCCAGCTAGCTACGTCACAGTGACGTGTAACACGTTACTATTGGTTATAATGTCACTGGTTGCTCATTTCACTTTCGTTTTGTTAAGTGATAAGTCACTTCGAGATCTGTTTTTATAATAACTATCGTAAGACATACTAGAGGTAAATTTATTAAATATGGCGGTTTACTCATGGGAATATACTGAGAAAAGCTCTAAATGTGGCTCGAATAGTAGATTAGTTAATTTACTTCGATATATTTTTAGCGTCTTTAAGATCAATCCGATACAAATAAGATTTTCTATAGAATTTTTAAGCTGCTTTCGGATATACTTTTGCCTACTTTGAAATTGGACCATCCATAATTTCTATTAAAATCACCGCTGATGATAATTACTGGATTATTCGTTTTTGTCCAGATTAAAAGTAAGTATAAAGTTCCTACCATGTATAAAAAAATAAATAAAACAAAGTAATTTACACGTTCTATTGAGTTTTTCAATTTAAATAAACGTAAGTTACGACGAACTACGGCGACGACCAACGACCTACATTATTTTTTGTATTGCTCATAACTTTTGAAGTCAAAAACAAATTTTATGAACTTAATTCTATTTTCAAAAAAGCGAGTATTTAACCAGTAGTACAGCCTCCACACCACCAATTTAAGTTTGAACAGCCAAAACACGCTATGCCCTTTACTTAAGCTCTAAATTCCTTCAGCACAGCTTCAAAGTTAAGTTGGTTTCTATCAAGTTCTCGAACCCGTTCTTTCATTCGAAGTATGCAGTAAGCAAGATTTGTTCATTCGGTGTGTCGGTCAGTCAGTATCGTGCATACACACGAGCGGACCTGTGTGGTAACGGTCACGGAAATTTTTAAAAAGTGAGTGAATTTTTACGTTATTCCTATTTTAAACAAAAATCTATTTCAGTTTTAACAACTAATTTTATTTTTAATCTGTGTGATTATTTTTGTTCTTTAATCAAAAATTTCATGTCTTTTCTTATTACAATAAAATTATAGTGTTGTTCGAATTTCAAATTGTTGTGCTGTCAGTTGTTATGTCTTCAATGTTTGTTTGTAGTTTGACATTGTGTCAAATGTCAAATATTCCGTTCGTGTTTGCATAATTTTAGTTTATCTTCAAAAACTTGAGCACTTACAAGTTATGTTAAAATAGATTTTGTTATTGAAAAATAATCTCATTATAAAAACTCGTTTGATTTGTCACTGAGCTGATTAGGTGAACAGTTTTATTATTCTTCTTAATTTACATTTCTTTTATGGTTTTATTAAAAAAACAAAAGCGGTTTGTCAAGTTCATTCTTAATTTTGTTAGAAAAATTCAACCATGAAGCAGTTTGAAACCAGTATTTCTTTTCCAACAAGGTAATAGAGATATTGTCTATTGTAAATAAAATTGATTGGCATTGTATATTCTTTCTACAATCACGTACAACAATGCATAGTTACATAAATCAAGTAACATGAATGTTGCAACAAAACTTCAATTAGCGCTTTGTTTGCGATTGTACTGTGGAGGTAACGTTGTTTAATAAATGTCAAAAGTTGACCACTTTGGCAATCTTCTTCTTAGAAATAATATGAAAGGGAATTACCCGTACTCTTTGATAAATCTAAAACATATATAAACAAACAATATAAGCTGTCTTAGCCAAATTATTTTATAATTAACATGATTATACTTCACATCGTCAACAGTCCACTGATGGAGTGGACTCCCCTACATAATAGGTATCTCCATAGTTTTTATTGGATTTTCCAGGGTTTACCATAGTCTCGCCGGTTATAAATCACAGTACCTAACTATAAAAAATTCAGGTTAAAAAAAACTGCCGATTGTGAACTACATAAGATAGACCATTAATTCATTTAAAAAAAAAGTAAAACCGATTTATTTTAAAATTATTTCATAAATGGAATTGCCAAAAAAGTCTGTCAAAATAGACCGTTACCTGTTCGCATACTGGCTGAATGTCATACATTTATATGGCCTTACATATGTATTACCGTTTCAAGGATTGTGTGTACGTCTAATCAGTCTGTGGTCACTATCACTGTACGCATGCGTAATATCTGTTAACTGATTTTTTTCTTTCATAATAATTTGCCTTAGGCCTTATGACCTTAGTTATAGGGACGAATTAAATGTCCTACATGAGTGTAAATAATTTGAAGTCACAATAACATTAACTAAAATCGCGGGTTACTGACGTGAATGTACTGAAAAAAGCTCTACTATAGGTCGTGACTCGTGACGCCGCGACCGCGCACACTGCTCATGAGGAAGAACCCCTCTGTGGTTCGATACTAGTAGAGCTTTTTTCACTACATTCACGTGAATAACCCGCGATTGTAATCAAAGTCAAAGTTATTTTAGTTAACTCGTCGAGTACCGTCATTATAGACACAATTATAGAACAATAGGTTGCGGTCACCGGTGACCGCTTGGTGTTTGACAGTTTAATTTAGTATGTCTCACGATAGTTATTATAAACGCAGCGGCTCCGTTCGCGTTTCCCTAGGATAAAAATGTGTTATCCCAGACCATAATATACCTCTGTTCCTAATTTCATTCAGATTCCTTCAGCCGTTTTGACGTGGTTAAGTAATGAACGTACACACAAACAAATTTTAATAATCTTTCACATTAAGAATATTAGTTTGATTTGTGTTCATGAACGCATTCGGAACAGAGAAAAAAAGCTCCGGCTCGACGTGCAGGAGAAGGAACGCAGTGGTTTTGAGTCAGTAAGAGTCTGACATTCCCTCCCGCCTCACCCAGACGGGAGCAGTCATTCGATGACTATGCCTCCTTAAAAAACAGCGAAAAAAATAGTCCAATACCAACGTTTCTATAAAAAGTAGAATATCCTACAACTAAATTGGTACTATTTGAAATAAAAATATAATCGACTAAAAATCGCGGGCTATTCACGTTACACACGTTAATATAGTATGTCTCACGATAGTTATTAAAAAAATATTAATTGCTCGTTTAAATTGCAATCAATCTACAACAGGTACTTAAAATGTAATAACTAGGCAAGTTATTAACAAATTACAAATTGCAGTATTAGTAACCCTTTCCTTTACTCGAGTCTAGTTTTAAATCTTGCGCAAGAGTGCGCCCATTTCATTACATTGGTGTATGATATTCTAACTACTTTTAATACTGGAATCACCTTTTTAAAGATGTCTTAAAAGTTAATTTTTCTGGTCGATGACACCAAATTCTTGATAATTCAGGTTTTCCAGGATCTCATCATCATGATACCTGAAATGACAGGCTTAAAATACGTTCATCCAAACCATACTATGGAACGAGCGCCCAGCTTCACTGACGAACAGACAAACGGTCGGACAATTCAATTTTTGACGTTTCAAAAATGCCTAATTAGCATTTTTTTTAATTTGACTCTGGATGCCTTGTTTACTATTGGTTGTTTTCTGAGTTTCCTGGCAATTTCAACTTCGAACCAGTAGAAGACCAAATACCATTTCGAAATTCGAAGAAATAGAAGAGGTACTTAACTTACTATATATCCACATTTCATTCTATCATAGAAAGAGTTTCATTCCAATCGTAAGAATTAAATTCAATCAAATATTTATTTTAATTAGAAAGCAGTAGTAGCAGGTCAATTAGTTACAAATTAAGTAATTAAAGGTACTCCTATGAATGATGTTATGTATGCCTGATATTAATTGCAATACTCGAACATCCGTCTGTTAATAATTTCATCGATTAATTAGCTAATAGGTTCCTAACATTTAGCTATAGAGTTGGAAGTATTATAAGTGCTTCTCGGAGTTAGGTGAATTCCCTCGATTAAACAATTTGTCATCAATATGATTCGGCTCGGCCACAAAAATTGATAGTTTTGAGTGAATGATTTACAAATACTCTCATTCTACTCTTAATAAAATACTAACTTTTTGATTATTGATGATGATCTTAGTCGAGGATCTGACAGATTATTCAAGTGTTAAGAAATCGCCCAGTTTTTAACTAATCAATTAATGCTACTAATTCGCTTCGATTCTCTTAAAATAACACTTAATACTGTTCCGTACACGGCACAAAAACCACTTTTCAAATTGCAAAATATAACAATGCAATAATGACAAAGGCGGCTGCGGCTAGTGATCGAAAAAGTCGATATTCGATATATCGACACCAGTCAAGGTCAGGCAACAAGTGAACCGTTTACGTAAAGGATCAGCATCCGGCTGCAACTTGCGACAGCTACAAACTTAGCACATGTTGCCGACAGAATATTTGCGAAAACAATTTTAGATTGGTGCGAAATTAAAGACGTTATCCAAAAAAAATCGTAGATGATGCACGTGTAGGGTACAAGAAGTACAAGTTGTTACTTATTTCAAACATGCACCAGGTTAAAATATTCAAACGTATTTCCATGTGGTACACCTTAATCCAGCTCTTAACACTCCAACTAATACGGAGCCGCAAAGGACTTAACAGGTTGCCGGGGCTCCGGCTAAAAGAGCAGAAGTAGGAACGGGGTGGTTTATAGACAGTAAAAGTCTGACACTTCCCTCTCGGCTAATCCAACGCGGTAGAACTCATTATCTAAACACTCCAACTAACAGGGAACTATTTTCTAATTTGCAATTCTTTCAAACACAATTTTCTTTCCCTAACATGCCAAACATGTTATCAGTTACTGTACTGCAAAAGAACTTACGGGTACTTTAGTTACATACCACATTTATTGTGCACTTTTTCCTAACATCACACATATATTCACACCGAACCAAGCTTTGATTCAAAAACCCACGCTACTCAAAAAGCCACACACAATGTTTTTCTACTCAAAGTCTGCACCTATGACCTCAAACAAATATTTGAGTCCACTTCATGTCATATGATCGAGTGTCAGTAACAGGTTCCCAGCAGGTGCTCAGAACTAAAACATGCAGAAATATTGCACGAGTAACCTGTTTCTGTGATTGTCGCCTTTCTCGTTATTATACTTATTTACGTCTAGATTTTAAGGCGAAAATATTTATAACTACTTTAGCGGCAGTGTTAGTAAAGAATTTAAACTTGATACCGCATATTTGGAACCTTACAATCATGAGGAATGAATCGCATATATTTTACTAGCGACCCGCCCCGGCTTCGCACGGGTGCAATATATATATACATACAAACATTCCTTAAGAATCACTCTATCTATTAAAAAAAACCGCATCAAAATCCGTTGCGTAGTTTTAAAGATCTAAGCATACATACGGACATACAGCGAAAGCGACTTTGTTTTATAATCACTATCACTATCTTTTACCCGTTTAATTTGGACTATCATACATACAAGCCCATCTCTTGAATCAGTCTATCAGTTTAAAAAAGCCTCATCAATCTTCGTCGAGTTATTTTAAAGATCTAAGCGTACCTACTTAGACGTACGGACATACGGCGGAAAGGGACGTTTTACACAATGTAGTGGATGATGGACTCCACGTGTGTAATCAAATTCTTAAAAGTTCTGTATCTTTTCCGTATGCACAACAATATAAAAATAGTTTAATACAGAAACCGTGGTTCAAAATGTACCAAAAACAATTTATTTATTTACCTGTTATAAATTAGCTCCTAAGATAAATATCAGTTGGTTTCCCTCACAAAAAATCTCAATCACCTCTAAAAATATAAAGTTTCTCGAAACGCGAATTCCGATTAAAAACAAACGGATGATATAAACAAGAATTTTAAATTATATCACCATTTTGTATCGAATATTTTTATTGATGAAGACATCAGGTAATTCCCAGTGTCTTAAGAAAAGACCTCAAAAGGACCCAATATTTGACCTTATTAATGTAAGGTCATT